GACTAGTGGCTTGAAAATCATGCTAGGTGCAAGTGCATATGTACCCAAAATCCAGAGAGAAGAGTGGAGAAGGGACTGCAGTGTGGTCATTATGTTGTTTTTGCCACAGGGTGCATGTGCTCACTAGAGAGACGGAGAAAGGGAAAATGAGAAATCACACCCTAGGGGGATGGCCACGCCGCAATCCCTTCTCCAATCTCGTCCTGGGATTTTGGACATGTACACTCACGGGTCCAGCGTGACTTTCAAGTCCAGGACCAGGACTCAGATCTCCACTGGCCACATGGGAGTCCAGTGCCTTAACTATCACACCACCTGCTAGCCCCTGTTTGGAAACTTTTTAATAGGAAATTTTTTCAGAAATGCAGTCTGAACAAAAAACTGACCCAAATATGTGCGAAACAAGGAGTTCTATGTAAGGAATTTCTAAGGAGTTCTCTTAGAAACTTTGGTACTGCACAATCAATTAATACCTTTTAAAACAATAATGAATTCTACAAAGTCTGGTTAAAACACAAACAGACATCATTTACATACTTAATGCATCATAAAGATAAGATATATAAAATAAATGCTGACATACCAATTGACATAAAATTATTACTCAATAAATCCAAGTTTGAACGAGTAGGTGGTGTGGTGGTTAAGGTATCTGGCTTCCCATAGGACAGATGGTGGCCTTAGTCTCAGATCCGGTGACCTGAAACTCATGCCAGATGTGTGTGTGTACATGCCCAAAATCCCAAGAGAAAAATGGAGGAGGGATTGTGGTGTGGCCATCCCATTTGGGGGTGACTTCTTACTTCCCCTTTCTCTTTATCTCTCTGTCTCATCTCTGGTGAGCCCACATGCCCTATGGCAAAAACCTAAAAAAAATAAATCCAATTTGTTGAATGAAAAACTATTTTCTAGAAACTTATAAAAAAAAAAAAAAAACCTGCTTCTTCACTAGGGAGTCAGACAGTGGCATGGCAATAACACAAAACTCTATGAAGGTGACTCACATAGGAAGGTTCAGGTTTACATCTGGAGACCTCCTTGAACACACTGAACACAAACAGTTGAAACTGAGGGTGGACTATGAAGTCAAGACCCTTTTGGAGATGCTGTTTCTCTCTAGCACTCATGGAGGAAAGAAATTAAATAAACTTAAAAAGAAGGAACAATAAAAAACATTTTCTCACTACAGGCATTGCTTTCCTACCTGCAAATGAATGCTTACCCGGCTTCATTAAAATAAATTAAAAGCCACAAGATGGCATAACAGAGGAGGGCTACAAGCTATCAACTAAATGTCCAGAGACAACTAGTGAGGCGAGCTAGGTCCTGATATAACTCTAAATAAAGGGGAAACTTAGTACACATAGGAAAGAATCTGAACAGCATTGTTCTTCCAACACAGGCCAGAATCAGAAAGAATAAGAGCATCTGAAAAAACACACTGGTAGCTTAAGCAAAGTTAAAATGTACTCTATAATATCCTGATACACTACAATATTCTTTTATTTTATTTCTCTAATAAACTTTTATGCTGGGAAGAAATTGTATGGCATTAATTTGTGTGGATTCTATTATTGATATTTACTAGATGAGAACTTAGAATTGAAACATTTTAAAAATACTAAATCATTTTAAAATACCAAGAATAAACCTATTCATTTAACATAAAAATCTTTTTCATGAAAAATAACTATTTCCCAGAACAATGAAGCAAAACTAGTGAGAAGACGGACATTATTTTACATTTTTACAAATATCTAAAATGTCTTAATAGAAGACAGACAGATTATTTTATTTGCTTCAACATTCAATATTCTGCAATGTATTGTTTTGGTTGAAATAAATCCAGGCTCATTAAAATACGTAGTTGGAAAAAGGAGGAATATTTTAACAGCTTCTTCACATTTGTGAATATTCTTCTTTGACAGTATGCTAAATTCTGTTTATTATAATGTAATATGGAAGAACCTGAAACCATACCAATGAACATTTCACACTCTCTTACATTAAAATTCCTTATTCTAACCTTGTACCTCAAATAGATCTTTTAGATATGCATGATTTTATAACATCATAATGATCATTTGGAAAATGTTTGTTCTTAGAGTTACATAGATCTCCAAATATTAACATGCTTCACTATATGAATATCTCTAAAACTTACATGTTGAAATGACTACCAAAGTCTGGGGATCAGCAGGTGGCATGGTGGCTAAGATGATGGACACTCCCACATGACCGACTATGGTTCGAGTCCCAGACCTGGTGGCTTGCTTTCTCACTTATTCTCTCTCTCTCTGTCTCTCTCTGGTGAAACTAAAATGAATTAATGAATAAATAAAATTGAATAAGTAATTCTTAAAAAAAATGACTAACAAAGTCCTCAAAAAATTCTTTATTAATAATAAAGCAGTGAAGCTCAAGGTGACAGATACATGTTTTCCAAGATTCTAATTTTCAGTTAAAAGGTCAAGTTTTATGCAACATTGTCAACTGTTTTCCTTGCAGTGAAAAGTTCATTCATTTTCAAGAAAATGTCTGAAAAATATTCATCTGAATAACTATAGTCTGTCAGTCACCCTTTTAAATTAATGGTATTCCATGAAAGAACTAGCTAGTAAACCCGGCAACCAGTGACTTAAGTGCTTTTCCTCCAGACAACCACATTCAGCATCCAACAGAATAAGTTTTCTTGAACTTCCCATTTCATCACATGGATTATTAAAAAGGCATGCTCTTAAGATTCAAAGTTAATAATAATTACTAAGTTATATTGCTGTCACTCAGAACAATCTATAGTGAACCAGGATTCTTTCCACTACAAGTGTGTGGTTGCAAAGAATAAAATCATTAGTACAGTTTGATGCACTGCTTTACTCTGTGTTAAGGTGCCAAAAGTGTTAACCATCACTGCTCTACTACATCAGTGCAAATGGTAATACATTAGAAAGAGCAAATAACATCTCAAGATTAACATGAAAGTAGGTCTGATGTGACAGATCCCTTGAAAGCATTTCAGGAACCCAGAGTGGTCCACAGATCACTTTGAGAACCCTGCATTATACTAATCCAACCAATTCTTAGCCATTCCTGTCATTATTACAAGCCACTGACTCAGTCAACCGATAACCACAGAAGACTTATTATGCAGTACGAGGTAGGTACAATGAAGTGTCTGTGTGTTTGAGCTATTTTGTGTTACTCACTCATGTATAGAACAGTGCCTAGCTGGCACACAAGATCTCAGTATTTGTTGAATGAATGAATAGCTATGATATTCTTTAACCTATTACTAGATTTCAAAGTCTTTTAGAGTATCATTTCTCACATACACCAAAAGAAACAATCTAATTACTGGAATTATTGTATTCTCTCCAAAATGAACAGGAAAGACTAATTTTTAGGCAGTATGGAACATCTACCCTTAATATGTTAGAAGTAGTTTTAGCCTCACACCACTCTAAACCTAGATTTTTATATATTCCAAGGTACTTCAAAAGGTTCATGGAAAAAAATGGAATTTAAGTATAGGTTTATTTGGGTGCAAAAAGTTTGAAATCTGCACTTTTTCATAATGCATATTTTCTATTAACTTTTTGAAGATTCCTTGACCACGCAGTCCTAGTTTTGCATATACCATGGTAACTGAAACTCAAGCATATCAGAACCATCTGTACTGTCTGCTGATAACTCAGCTCTAAAAATACCATAGTACTGTACAAAGCACCTTAGTGAAAATGTACAAGGAAATAGGCTCTAATGATACACACACTCAATTTCAGTAAAACAGAAAGGAAAAGCATCATAGAAAGAATGGAGGTAAAGCCTTTGGGTAGTGACTTTAAATGGGTATCCTTATGGGACAGCATATTAGACACCTAAATGACTATCAAACTCTACATGCCTCCCTCCCACTACCCACTAACATTTAAGAATGCTAGACATCAACTAATAGAAATGTTTCCATTTCCTCAACTCACTGGGGGTTGAGGGACACCGCAGAAGCATGCTAGTTGGGGGGAAGAGAGAACAGTACCTTATAAGATACTGAGATAAAACTGGGTCACACTAAATTTAGTCTAGTATTAAAACTACAGGAATGAACATTTCTGAAAACAGCTGTAGATCAAAATCTTTGGATGTCCATCTCCTAACCCTTCTCTTCTTCAATCAAAATAGCCTTAAAATTATTCAACAGTGATTAAGTCAACCCTGTCTTTACTCCTGGTGCTCACATCTATACCCAGAATTTGTATTCTTTCTATTTGACTTTTTTTTTTTTTGGACCAAGAAGAACAGAGCAAGAGAGAGGGAGAGAGAGAGAGCAAGCCACAAGAGAAAGCAAGTCTCAGGTCTGAGACTTTAACCGTGGTTGGCCACATGGGAGTCCAGCACCCTTAACCACCATGCCACTTACCAGCCCCTTTATTTGACTTTTAAAAATTAACATAAAATTGGGCCAGCAGGTGGTGTGGTGGTTAAGGTACTAAATCCCACATGGCTGACTCCAAGGCTCCAGTTCCTTGTCCTGACAACTGGCACGTATACACGCATGCCCAAAATACCAAGATGAAGACGGAAAAGGGATTACGGCATGTCTCTCCCCACTATGGGGTGATTTCTTACTTTCCCCTCTGTTTCTCTCTCTCCCCAGAGAGTACATGGCCCTTAAGGCAAAAAACTAAAAAAAAACTAAAAAAAAAAAATTAAAAAAAAAATCTAAAAGTTAACATAAAATTTCAAAACTATTATAAATTTTAAACACAGTGTATTCCGCTCTAGTAGTAAAAGGCATTTTACATGTTCAGAATTTAAATGGGTCTGCCAAGAGTTAGGAACAAACTGAAAAGTATTGATATTTTATAGACAAACACTAACAGAAGCTTCAAAACTAAAAAAGTGTCCTCGGAAAAGTAACAAATAACTTCATTTAAAAAAAATTCTACTCTACGTATTAAGTACAAAAGTGGGACAAATAGGACATGTTATTTAAACTATACCTTAAAGTGTACTGTGATGTTCCAAGGAAGGCCTGAACTTGATGCAAGAAGATCAAATAACAAACCAATGGGATAATGCCTAAAAAGGAAACAGCATATTTTAAGAGAGAATCAATATATAAAATTACATATGTAACTTCAAAATAAATATCCAACACATGTTTTAACATCAAATGCCAGGGGATGCAATCACAAATCTCAGGAAGGTAACATTTTAAACAGTTATGTGCCTGGGCTGACATAATATAGTGTGCTTTCAGGCATCAAGTAGTTTTCTTCGAACCATTTCATTCCTCACAGAAGCCTCAATATATGCAATAGGACTGTGCCCAAAGCGTTTTTTTATAACTGAAATGATATGTCATGGTACTATGGTGTCTAATTATCATCCTAACAGCTCTAAAGGACAATCTCTATCTTATTGTTTTATTTTGAAGAGGTGTTTGCCTTAGGGCACATGCACTTGCCAGAGAGAGAAAAGAGAGGGAAAGCAAGAAATCACCCCACCCCTACTCCCCAGGAAATGGAAATGCAGCATTCCCTCTCTCTCCATTCTCTTCCCAGGATCTTGGGCACACACACACATACACACACACCCAGCATGAGTTTGAAGCCACGAGGTCCAGGACTCGAACTATGGTTGGCCATGTGGTAATCCAGCAACTTAACCACTACACCATTTGCTGGCCCCAATAATCTCTTTTTTTTTTTTTTTTGGAGAGGTTTTTTCACTATAGGGCGTGTGCACTCACCAGACAGACAGAGACAGAGAGACAGAAAGCAAGAAATCACCCCCCGGGGGGATGGTCATGCCGCAATCCCTTCTCCTCCATTCTCCTCTTGGGATCTTGGGCACGCACGCACACGCGCCCGGCGTGAGTTTTAAGCCACCGGGTCTGGGACGCAAACCACGGTTGACTACGTGGGAGTCCAGCGACATAGCCATTACACTAACTGCTGGTTCCCCCCAATAATCTCTTTTTTAAAGTTTATTTAAATATGTGTTTGATTCTTAAAACAACTTAAAATTTTAGAAAATTGTATGAACCAAGACAAACACCTAAAAAGCACACAAATCATCTATTCTGTGACTATTAACATCATGAGTGCATAAATTTCCAGTCTTGCACTTACGTATTCATATTTAAAAAGAGATTAAGAATATCCTTTACAAACTGTACTATAACATGCTTTTTCACATGATATAATGTCTACATTTTTCCACACAATTGAACAGTCTACTGAAACCAAATTCTGAAGTTTTTTTTTTTTTTTTCAAAATAATATTTGGGGCCATCGGCAGTATAGTGGTGGCTGGGGTGGCTGAAGTCACATGGTCAACCCAGTGTTTTGAGTCCCTGACCCAGTGACTCAGGGAACACAATGAGAGCATATGCGTGTGTGCCCAGAATCCTAAGAGGAGAAATGGAGAAGAAGGCATTCCAGTGTGGCCATCCTTCATGAGTGTGCTTTCTCTCTCTCTCTCTCTCTCTCTCTCTCTCTCTGTCTTTGGCAAGTGTATACACTCTCTAGAATATTAAAAAAAGAAAATTTAATTAAAAAATAAAGAAGGGAACCAGCAGTTAGTGTAATGGCTATGTCGCTGGACTCCCACGTAGTCGACTGCGGTTCGAGTCCCGGACCCGGTGGCTTAAACTCATGCCAGGCGCATGTGCATGCGTGCCCAAGATCCTGAGAGGAGAATGGAGGAGAAGGGACTGCAGCATGGTCAGCCCCCTGGGGGTTGATTTCTTGCTTTCTGTCTCTCTGTCTCTGTCTGTCTGGCGAGCGCACGTGCCCTATTTCAAAAATAAATAAATAATTAATTAATTAAAAAGGAAGTTTTGGACTTCTTAAAAAAAAAAAAACGTTTCCTGATATAACCATCACAAACAGTAAAGCAAATTCCTTAGATATAAACAAATGTGAGTAATACAACCTTTGGATATTTCAACAGACAAATCTTTTTTTTTTTCTTAGGTTATCGTCTTTTAAAAAATTTTGCCAGAGCGGGTACGTGCTTGCCAGAGAGAGAGCAAGAGAAAGTGAGAAAACACTCCCCTTAAGGAACGGTCACACCACAACCCCCATTCCTCTACTTCTCCCTTCTTTGGGGATCTTGAGCATATACATACACATATCTGGCATGATTTTTTCAAGTTGTTGGGTCCAGGACCCAAACCAAGTGTCGGCCATGTGGGATCCAGCAGTCTTAACAACCACAACATGGGCAGGGAGGTGGTTTAATTAGTGAATCGAATTAAATAATACCCCAAGCGCAGACAAAGGAAGACTTATATTTGGCCTTGTTAATCTGTATAATCTATTAGTGAATTACTCTTAGAATTGAGAGCTCCCAAAATTTGAAAGAACATCTAATTTCCTTCCAAATGAGTAACTGACCAAGATTCAATTATTAATATATTTGCCTACTTCTACATAATAAAACTGCATAAAAATTATTAGTTATTACAGATCATGTATTTATCTAGAATGAATTTCCTGATAGTAGTTTTAGTCTTATATGTGATAAATTTCTTTTTATTTTAAGAGAGATTTTTGCTATAGGGCACGTGTGCTTGCCAGAGAGACAGACAGAGACAGAAAGTGAGAAATCACCTCCCAGGGAGGATGGCCACAATCCCTTCTTCTCCATTCTCCTCTTGGGATTTTGGGCATGCATGCATATTTGCCTGGTATAAGTTTTAAGCTGCCAGGTTCGAGACTTGAACCATGGTAGACTACCTGAGAGTCCAGTGGCGTAACCATTACATCATCTCCTGGTCCCAATACATTTCTTGTAACAACCCTTAACTTTCTATTTAAAAGCCAGCATACTAATCTTTCATAACTAGAAAAGAACAATGAAGAAAAAATTCTGGCCTCAGTCTAAAGTATAAATTTAAATTTTAAAAATGTATACACATTGCATAATAGACAAGTTACAGATTCTATCCAATTCTGATTCTTCTCAGAATTGAGAAAACTACTAAATTTATACAGGCTCGTGGCCAGAAGGTGGTGTAGCAGTTAAGGCATCAGACTCCTGTGTGATTGACCATAGTTGGTCCTGGACCCAGCAACTTGAAAACATATGCCAGGCACATGTGCATGTATCCTGAGAGGAGATACCCAAAATCCTGAGAAGAGAATGGAGGAGAAGGGATTGCAGCATGGCCAACCCCTCAGGGGGGTGATTTCTTGCTTTCTGTCTCTCTGTCTCTGTCTTTCCAGCGAGTACACATGCCCTATAGCAAAAATCTCTCAAAAATATAAAATAAAATAAAATAATACAGGTTCTAAATAATGTTTTGCGCTTTATGAAACACCTTTCTTCTTCAGTCTATTTTTAAATATGGGCCCAGCACCATAGCCTAGGGTTAAGGCAACCAAATCCCACATGCCAACTGAAGTTTGAATCTTGGCCCTGGTGGCTTGAAAAACACACCAGACACATGTGTATGGGTCCACTCTCTCTCTCTTTTCTTTCTCTCTGGTAAATAAAAAAAATGCTGCCAAAAACATTTTTTTTTTCTTTTGCTTAAGTATTAGTAGTACCATTAAATGCAAGAAGAGCCCGAAGCAATGGTAGTAAGCAAGAACTTCCCAGAGGTCTACTTGAACGCATGAAAAATGATGAGCAGTCAGTTGCATTCAGGGAATGTTGCCCATTTACCACTACTTACAAAACCAGGAAAACATAGAAAAAAAAATTTGAATTTGCTGTATTTAAACACATTAAAATTTATAATAAAGTTGATTTACTCTTTTTTTAGCTTCTTTATTTATAAAATAATTTTAGAGAATTTTTCTTTTTTAAATTTTACCATAGGGCATGTGCATTTGACAAAGGGGGGAGGGTGGAAGAGAAACAGTGAGAAAACATTCCCATGGGAATGGTCACACTATAACCCCTTCTCCTTATTTTCTTCCTTTAGGGAATGTAGGCATGCACATACACACCCAGCAAATTTCTTAAGCCACCAGGTCTGGAACTTGAACCATGCAGTCAGCTATGTGAGATCTACCTGTTTAACTGCTATACCATGAGCTGGCCCAGTATGTATTTTTAAAGTTTACTGGTCCCACATAGTAAATGATGATGACTCTTTTTCTGGGTATAATAACAACTGGAATAGAAATTTAAATATTATCGCTCCTAAAATTTATATTTAACTTTAAATATAGGTGCTCCTGAATTTATGATAAGGCTCCAACCCAATAAATTCATTAAGCTGAAAATATCACAAGGAGAAAATGAATTTAATATGCCTAACCTACAACCAACATAGCTTAGCCTAGGCTACTTTAAATCTGCTGAGAACACTTACATTAATCTATAGTGTGGCAGCAAAATCTTCTAACACACAGTCTACTTTATAATAGTGTTGCATATCTCATGTACTTTATCGAATACTGAACCAAAAATGAAAAACAAAGTGGTCACATGGGTACTCAGAGTATAGTTTCTAGTGAATATATATCTCCTTCACACCACTGTAAAGTGAAAAAAATCAAGTCAATGTTAGCTGAAGGCTATCTGCACACATAAAGTATAAATATAATAGCTAATAATTATCCTGTAATAATATTTTTTAAAATGAACAAGAAAAACATGGTAATAAAATATCATTTACTTATTTCCACTGTTAAATTCAACAATTCACATACTATGGTTCAATGCAGATGTTTACATTAGAATGATTTTGATGCAAGGATATTAACTCCAAACAAACATATTATGTGAATTAACTGGTTTCCAAACTGCTTATTTCCTTTCTTTTCTTTTTTTAATTGCCAGGGAGCACATGCATTCACCAAAGAAGGGCAGAAAACAGAGACAGAGAGGAAAAAGCACTCCCTGATGGGGCATGGTCATGCTGCAATACCTTCTCTTCCATTTCTCCATCCTGTTCAGATCTTGGACATGTGCACGTACACATGCCTGCCATGTTTTCAAGTGGCATGGGTCAAGACTGAAATCACAGTCAGCAATGTAGGATGCAGCTCCCTTAACCACTAGGCCATGGGCTGGTCCTCCAGATTGCTTATCTCTAATCAATCTATTAATACTCTTAA